AAAAAAAAAAAAAAAAAAAAAAAAAAGAAGTGTGCCCGTCAATTTCACGCAAGACGGTTTTCAAAAACTAAATGTTCACTGAAAATAAAATCGACTTTGATCAGAAATGACCAAGAAACCGTACGAGGGTTAATTTCGACAAAAATATCCGTATCCTTTCGACAATTGTAACAAAGTAATTGGAAGAAACAGGGAATGTCACAAAACTAACTTCATTGAGAAAATTAAGTTTCAATGTCGTTCATGAAATAAATTATTAGATGAACAGGTATTGCAATACTTGTTAGACAATGAGCGAAAATAGTAAAAAGTGAATATATTCTGAACATTATCGAATCACTGCAATTCGATAGTTATAATTGTCGCAAATAAAAACTGTTACAAAACGAAAGCTCATAGGAAACAGACGTTCCTTGTTTTTTCCTCCCTTATTTCTCACGGTTTTGTAGAAAAAGAAACCTCGACGTTTCTGAATCCGTTGCGTCGACGGGTTTGCTAGCTCTAGTGTTCAATGCATCTCGCGTCGCGTGCAAATTCGTCGCTCGATCTCGCTGGCGTGGTACGTAGCCCGTCTAAGAAGCAGCTCGGGTTTTTTTTGTCTTTTCCTCTTTTATTCACACTCGACTATTCTCTCTAGCTATTCGTTAGCTTGTAAAACCATTGAATGTAAAAATATTCGTCGACCACGCTGCACGGAGCGTATATGTAAGTATCTTTTGTCGCGACATCGAGTACGACGCTTTCCAGCCGCGAGTTTCCGCATCTACGCTTGTAAACCTAAAAGCGCTACGCTAAACACGCTACGCGACGCCCCTCGCTTTGCCCAACAACTACTTCTACCACTCTTCGGTACTTTTTTTTTTTTTCTCTTTTTCATTTTTTTCTTTTTACTTTTTGTGTTTTACTTTCGTTTCACGACGCACCGCACATTCGTCGCACTACAACACATATACAACCGAGATACACGCAGCTGCGCACACAGATACGGACACGTATATGCAAACGCACATGTACACGCACACTTTTTTCTTTTTTTTTTTTCTTTTTTTTTTGTCGAACGCAAATATACGTTATGTATATGTATAATGTATGCAAAACCTGCAAATCGTCGCCTCGTTTTTTTTTTTTTTATTTTTCATTTCTTTTTTTTTTCATCTCGGGGATATCTCTACGTGTTTATCGTCAACAACAGCAAAACTATCGAATGTAACGCTTAAGATTAATTCAAGGTGTAACACCGATCACAATTTTTATCGCTTTCAAAAGATTTCCGACTAGGTCGATACAAAAATTCCGTCAAAAATATCGCTGCTTTATGGTTTTTCTACTTGTAAGAATTCAATATTATACTCCGGTGTCTCGTTCCGTTCAATCGCACGCGATGAGAGCAATTACACGCTACCGAGTAACCAACGAAGGAGAAAAGAAGAAAAAAAAAGAAGAAGAAAGAAAAAAGATGGAAGAAAACGGGAAGGGAGGAAAAAATTGGAAGAAGAAGAGCTGCCCGGCTCTCGAGTGTACGCGAGATGTCGGAAACGCAAATATAAAAAAAAAAAAAAAAGGACGAAGAAGAAGAGATCGCCGATCTCGGTTCTACGTTCGATCGAGAACCGAGGGAAATAATGCTAATCTACATGAAGTTGAACGTTCGGCTCGACACATCGTGAGAAATCGAGGAATTGACTTTCGAGAAAGGAGATACAGAATAGCAAGCGTCTAAATAGACGCAAACGTACCCGGGAGAGATTGGTAGGCGTGCACGCGTTTCTTGTTTCTGTCGTAAACGCTCTGATACCGGTTCGCGGGTGGAATCGAAAGACACCGGATGGATATACGGGGGAGACAGGGACGAGGTTGACGCCGTGTGTCGCGTCAACGTGTTCCGAAGCAACGGCATTACGTACTCGGTACGTAATTACTCGTGCAAAACAGTCATAAAAATAACGTTCGATGTTAAATGTCAATAGAGTCGCAAAAAGTAATATCGATCGGTCGTGGTTTCGAGCGTCTCGTCGTTCGCTCGAAACGTACACGGTTTATATTCAAACATTGCGGCACACGATCTCGCGTGAGAACGAGCTCGTTATCGTTCGCGCGAGGGAGGTGAATACGGATATTATATTCGTCGTGAGTCGTTGTCGTGCACGAAGGAAAAAGAAAAAAAAGAAAAAAGAAAAGAGAAGAACAAAGAACAGGAAGTAGTATCGACGTTGCGTTGGAGAGAATGGTTCGGTCGTAACGCGCGGAAAGAGCTTTCTGCATCGGCGAAACGAGACTCTACACTCTTGTTTCCGTCGTGTATTCCTGGGGAAAAAAAAAGGGGGATTTTCTATCGCTCGATATGGACGCTCGACCTTTTCTCCGTTCTCTCTTCCAGCCAACCGAAAGACCAATCGAGGAAAAATAAAGAAGCTAAAATAATGTTCGTCGATTTCCTCCGTGCTCTCCTATACCGGAAGAACGTCGTGTCGCGTAAAACCAAACGAAAAGTCACGTAGGGAATTACGTTAGTTCAGAAGCTGGCTTCCTATGTATTTTGCCGCTTGGGTCACTGTGACAAGTGCGCGAATCGAAAGTATAACAAGCGACCGTGAAATCATGTTTTTACAGATTCTTAAACACTTCGGGGGTGGATCTCGACAAATTTTGTGCGATGTTGGAAGTGGGGAAAAAAACATTGAAAAGACAAAGAGAAGGAGAAGAATAATAAGAAAGACAGAGAAAAAAAGAGGGAAAAGGGAAAGAAGAGAAAAGAAATGACGAAAGAGGAAAAGGAGAAAAAAAAAAGTATCAAAGTTGAAGGGGATTCGAGAATCAGAAAGGTACTCTCGATATTACAGGTCAAGGTTTGATCGACGATTAACCAATGTGCTTGTAGTGTACATATATAAGTACGTTCGAACCTTTACTCTGGTTTTAGTCGATGCCATTGGACGATCGTCTGCCGTGGCTTTGTAATCATGTCTTGCCAATGTTTCGTTTCGCTCGCCCCACTGCCGTTTTTCCCTGAAATTTATTAAATTTACTCTATTCATTGACAAACGCTAAACTAAATTGGCAAATACAAAATATTACAAAGGACAAATTGCAAGGATATATTTTACTTCCAGAGAAAAATGAATAAACATCAACGCAATTAACAGAATTAACTTGACATACCAACTATAACTATTAACTGTGAAGAAAAAAAATTAAAAATATGTAAGAGAATGATTCAACAATTATTCGCAATTTAATGATATTTTTTTGTTACATTAACTGTAGCCTTAAATATTTATGCATTGGCAATTATCCTCTTCATTTATCTTTTATAGCCAGTTTTTTTTTGTTTATTATAAGGGCAACAATAGTTGAACTATTTTATATTTGCACTAAATAAAAAGCAGCGTGCTGCTATGTTATTTTTCATTATCTGAGGGGAAAATATAAGAAATATTTTCAACACAATATGAGAACAGTGTTTTTTCTCAATCCAGTATATAAGTAGATTGACAAGTTTAAAATTGATCACGGTATAGCTTGCTTCATAGTAAAAAGTGTTTTCCTATAAAAAAAAGCTTCTATACAAAGATGGATCAAGTGCGTTGACATTCAAGAACGCTATATTGAAAGATAACACTGTCGCAACATCACTAGTGTTATTTCAATAAATTTCATGATTGTAGTGCAGATAATTGTTGAATCACCCTCGTACATACCTATAGCAACTTGAAGAGAAACGTTTCATCAATATGGACATCGTTTGATGATATAAAGGAAGATATCGGGTAGATATAAAGGAAGATATCGGCAGGTGATGTTGATAACTGTGTCGAACACATTATTGAAATCTTATTACCTGCAAGTTGAATCCGTCCGATCAACTCGTTACGACCGATGTTATCAAAGTCCATCACCATTACGTCCAACGAACATTCTCGAATTTTCTCCCACGGCACGTTGAATGAGAACGCTTCGTTGAACACCGGGTTCAGCGTGCATTTGAATATAGGTGTCTTTCGTTTTTCGATCCTCTTGTCTCCGAATTGCAACCAAACTTTCACATAGGGATCTAAACGCACGGAATAGAACGGAGAGAAAACGGGGAGAATGAAGTTATCGTGTTGAACATCGGTAGCCTTAGGCTGCAACTCGTCGTACTCTTAAGCCAGACAAGTGTTGAAACAACGTCCGTCGTAGAAATGTATTGTAACGTCGCAATAATATAGAACTCGCACACACAGTAGTGAGTGATTTTCAACGCGCGGTGCAAACGTCTGTTCATTTTCCTCTCGACGTATTTATGCACATTCTGAATTGTATGCACGTCTAATGTAACAGATCGCACGAACGTATCAGCATTGTTTCCGACGCAAGAAGAAACAACAATGCATCGTGGGCTGCATTCATGTACGCCCATTGAGACGGACGTCGTTTCAGCTTTAAAATACCAATTCGCTCACCTGATTTCCCATTAATATCTTTCGCTTTCAAGTTTCTCGCTTTCAACAGCGTCAAAGTGAGTACGGAATTGCTCGGGTGATAACACAAAGAACACAATAACTCTCCGCATTTATCCTTCGCCGGTGGTTTCAATGCTTTCCAAAATGACGGCTTGTCCGAAAAATCCACCTATCGAGAATCGTATCGGTACGAGTTTACACGTGTCTCGCGGCTCGAAACGCGTCGCTGTGTTACATAATATTATACATATCGCGACTCGCGTTGGAAACCTCGCGCCGACGTGAAAATGGAAATTACCTGACATAGCGGAAGAAACATCTCTCCGATAGAATCGTCCCTGGAAAATCGATCGTAGTCGAACACATGTAAATGTAGCACTCGGCTTTGTAACTTTTGAATCGGGAAACCTACGCAAAGAACGTGATAATGAAGAACGCGACAGTCATTCTGAAAATCCCGATCTTTTTCTCCGTGCAGCTGGTACACGTCACTTATTGTTAGTTTGTTACGGATCGATATGCTTACCTTCGAAATAAAACGTTTCGTTCCATCGAGGATTCAGCGTGCGTCTCTTTATCTTTGTCTCTAATCGGTGTTTCTTGTCCGGCAGAAGGGTTACGCGGACGTAAGGATCGGACGTTCCAGATAAATCCTTCGCCGGCAAATCTTTACCCTAAAAAGTAAATGCAACGAGCAATCGCTCCGTTAAGGCCAATTATTCACGACGTGGACGTGCTTTTAATATTGCTACTTGTTAAATTAGAGATTTTTACACATTCTTCATATTTCTCACTTTAGATTCAGTTTAGGTAATTTACAACAGGGTCATCCATAAATTTTAGTTAGTTTCGAGCGCGAAATAGTTAAAAATTTGACAATAATCATAGTTGTAAATCACTTGTAATATTATATAGATAATATGAATATGGGAACATATAACTTCCAAGTTATAGACGTACGTTTGCCAACTACATTTATTTGTCATCTTTTAGTTTAGAAAATTCTTAAATGTTACAATCCTCGACCACGATTTTATTCAGTTGACGAAGCATAGGAAAATAAGAGAATAGTTTCTATTAAAAAAAAAAAGAAATAGTTTTCACATAGAAAAAAATAAGAACATGCTTCTCCACTGAATCTATTAATGAAATTTGAGAATATTGTCTTGCACAAATTCGAATCATTTCGTACAGAATTCAAAATATAAAATTCTTCAAATCTTGTCTTGAATCTTGAGAAAATTCATTTACTCTATGTAAAATGGGGATCTCTGATACCTAAATTGCACTAACCTGTATAATACGTAAGATAAGCGTAGTATTTTGAAAGTCATATTCCAGGCTGAAGTGTATTTGACCAACGTTCTCGCTGGGTTCCGAATTATCGATGTACATGTCTACCAAAGACATCGATCTGTTCTGCAGAAACGCTTTCTGAAACGGGAGGTACTCAACGTTAGTATACAATGCTATGATGCGACTCGTGGAAACGAAAACCAACGAACAAGAAGGATATCATAACTTCATTCTAGGAGTTTTTGTATATATTAAATCATTTTCCGGTATATTAATTAAAAAATAAATAAATAAAATAATTACTTTATCGGACATAATAATGGCACAATAATTCGACATCATGAAAAATAAGAATATTAGTCGAATAACAATGTTTAAAGATAGGTACGGAGAGTAAATTTTTAAGTGGAATTCTTTACTCTCTAAATCTATATTCTATTTTACGATGAATTATAACTATCCACAGTTTTAAACGTTCCTCGTTGTAAAACTTTCACGAAAGTCACTTTTATTCAATAAAATATTGGTATTTGTTGATTATAAAGTAAAATTCTATTTGTTCGAACCAAATTTCAATCAATGTCCGATTAAATAAACTTTTTCTTGTTTCTGTTGAACCTGTTCGAATCAGAACTCCCATTGTATGAATGAAAAATTATTAGTGGAGGAGAGAATCAGTGGACTCCGGTTATATGAATTACTCCAATTATAATAGGACTCTATATTTATCCGAATCAATATCATCAGAAGGGCTGAATTTATAAGACATTGTTGAACTCATGCTGTTCGCGGTTCACACAGATGAATATAAATCCAGTTATAAGAATTCCTATTATACGATCGAAGAAATTACAGAGGGTTAGACTTCTATTATTCGAACAATCCAGTTATTCGAATCGTCTTGTCCCCGTTCTGGTTCGGATAAATAGCGTATATATCTATTGTGTATACTAACTATAGTGCCGTATCAGAATAAAATAAACATCCGTTGTATTAAATTATCACTTGTTGTAGAAAATTTATTCTAACAGATATAAATTTTGAAATTAAAAAAAAAAAAAAATGCAGAATATAATTTTCACATATTCAATACTCTTGCTTAAATATTTTACTTTGTGTAATTTCTACTAGACGTGAAATCTATTAAATTATCAATGGGATATTAAATTTCAAGTAACATCCCTCTTGATCGATTGCTCGAATCTGGTAACAACGAGTTTCATCTTCTTTAAAGTCAAACAATATTAACATTCCTCCCCCGTTCCTAGTCTTTATATATATATTTCTTTAGTGAAATTTGCCTTGGAAAAATTCATACAAAAAGATAGTTACCGGCAACCAGACATTTAACACCAGAGTACCTAAAATTCCTCGTTATTAGGAAGGATCGGCAAGATCGGCAAAATATCGCACTCGCGGCGCAAAAATCGAAGAAATCAACCTACCGACGGGTGATCCCCTTTCACATTTTGCAGTTGCTTGTTTTGAACTCCAGCAGTTGGAGTACGAGGCTCGGCCACGCTGCCAGTCCCGCCGAGGGAAGCTGCGTTCACCCCAGCGCCGATCCCGCTCGTCCCTGCGTTCGCATTTCCGATGCCAGAGACGCCGCCAGATCCGGATCCGCTGGCCACCGCGGTTGGACCGCTCGACGTAGAACCGCTTGCGCCGCCACTCGATCCACTTGCTCCCACCGCGCCGCTTCCACCCGCCGATGTTGCTGGTTTGTTCGCCGGGCTACCGGTTGTCCTACGGCCAACACCAACCGATCGCCTTTCAAATCCCTGTCGCAGCTCCCTTACTCTCTTTACTCGATCGTATGTATCATCGTAAATATCATCGCGTGATATCGCGGTTCATCTTCATCACGCCCTCGTTCTTGTCCACGTCCTCGTAATTGTCGTGTCATCGTTGATTACTTTAACCCTTCTAGTGCCGAACAACGACGTATTAGTTGGCGTATATATACACGACGTTGGATACACGACGTGAGTCATGACTGAGACTCTTCGCGAAACGTTGAACGCGAAAAGAAGCAGAGGGGAATTGATTGAAGTAGAAGAAGGAGGCAGTGGATGAAAATTGGTAGCTGCGAGTCGTGGCGCGTCACGTCACTGGTGTGTCTTGTTATGTTACTGCCATTCAGAATTGTGCGGACACTTTCTTTCTTCGTCGTATTTATTTGAAAAAAAAAAAGATGAAATCATTGATGAATCGAAATTGTTATTTACTTATTTCAAAGCACCAGTGGGGATTTTTATTTTTTAATGTAGTAAGATTATCCATATCTACGGATAATGATTGGTTTTAAGTGGCTATTCGTGAAATTCTGTTATGTACATACATAGATTCTATACTATAATACATTCTATATTATAGATTGCAAATATCTGCGAAACTCGTGATTATATTTCTGTAATAAATAAATTTCACTACGTGAAAATATGTCCTTTCTGGATCGCAGTCAACCAGGTATAAAAGTTCTACCGTGAATGTTATTTGAAACCAAATTTTCATCATTTTCTTCCTCAACACGTTATCTTTTGCTTGGGATTATTTTCTTCTTTTCTTTCGGCACTAAAAGGGTTAATCATCATTACCGTGATTCACGTTTCAATCTCGTCCATCTTTTCGTCGTCCGTCAAAAATATCGCGTTCCTCGATCTCGCGTCACCCCGATCTCGTTTCACGTGCATTTCTCAACAAAGGAGCAAAACTAAAGCGTCTATGGCGCATACAGTTTCAACTATTTTGGCGCAGGGCCGGTTCTAATGTGTGTGCAGTGCGTGCATGCACGCAGGTGGTCAAAAATTTCCAAGATACAAAAAAGGTATAAAACATTTCTAAGATAAAGAACTCTGAAATTGCAGATCTATTAAGAGACTAAACATATATTACGAAAAATAATTTAATATATTTTACTTTCTAATCTATTTGCAGTCTTACGAATTTTCCTGACGTTACCGGTTAGTGTAGCATCACAGGCGAGAGGAGTTTTTGAAATAAAAACTTGAAACATAAAACTCTTCAGTGACACAAGAAAGATTTAACGATCTATAGGATTAATTAGCTAGTAGAGGAGAAATTGTGCGAAAATTTAGAATTGTTAGAATTATCATCGATGAATGATACGATAGGTAAGATTCTAAACTTATGATTTCTGCGACTTTTATATGCATCTTTCGTTACAAAATAAAATAAATAAATAAGTGATATCTATATCTGATAAAAGTAAAATCTATAACGTGCTACAACTTTTTTTTATAAAATAAAATAAAATGTAACAAAGTCGTTAAATATTCTATCAACTTTTGTTCACCGTGTCGACTAGATAGAACTGCTACAAACTATTATACGGATTACTACAGTAGGCATTCGTGGGTTATGGATATATTAGTGATACGCACTGAGAGAGGTAGCCAAATGTTTCTCGGTACTGAGAACCGACCCTGTTTTGGCGTAGCTAAAGCATCGTGTCGTCGAAAGCAACGGCAACGACGATCGTGACACTACGAACTAAGTACGGTGAACGACGACTCAGGGGTGTTCTACTTAAGTGAAAATCGTACATTAAATTGTCGACATTTAAACCATTATAATTTCGTGAAAAAAAAAGTCGTACAATAATGAGTTCATTTTACAACTTAACGTCTCTACTTTGACAGTTCTGAGTTCATTTTTTTTACAGATTTTTTTTCACATAATGTAACGGATAGGAAAGTAAGGGTATCGAAATTCTAAAAATTCAAACATCACGAAAAACGTTGATAAAATGTTTTCACGATTAAATGCATAAAGATTGAAATTTTCTCTTTACGAGCCGAATGTTCAATAAAACAATGAAAAAGAAAAGTATCGTATAACAATTTTTAAGAAATTGTTCAAGATCATGGTGAATCTACTGATGAAAAAAATTGTTTTAAACGTTCGAATCTATAGCATTCACTTTCCATATCTGCTGCACAAAATTTTTACAAATGAACGATGGATTCTGAAAAATAGAGGCTTCGTGCTTCAAAATGAATGCAGGCTGACTGATTTTTCTTTCACCAAGTTACAACAGTTGAAATGTCGGCAGACTGGAATGTTTAGCGTACGATTCTCATCGTAAGTAACAATTGTATGGATACGTATCGCAGCTACGGTGCAATGGCTCTCTATGCTCGTTCTTCTATGTTATTTACTGAGCTATCATCTAGAATCTAGACATTCAAGTTTGATCGACGATTGTGAGAACGCATGAAAGCACGTGCGATTCGACTAATTGGGATGCGCGGTGCCAAAAGTTCTAAGTAAATACCCTCACTTTTTTTTTTCTGTCGCTTGTCGAATGACATCACTCGATTACCGATTACGAGAGAAAGGGAAGTCGTTCTCTCTCTTCTTCTCTCTCTTTCCCTCTTTTTTTCTCTCTCTCCCTCTTCTCTTTGTTTCCTTCTACCCGAAGTCGAATCGATAGTTTAACCCCACGGAAACTGAATGCTCGCCTGCTGCTGCTGCTGCTGCTGCTGCTGCAGTTAACTTTCATCTTACCGTTCATCTGACGTGAACAATGATAAATTTGATACTGACGGCGAACGAAAATGCAGTCGGTGCTTGTTATTCAGCGAAGCAGCAGCAAAGAAAGTAGTCTGTTCAGAAGTATCCGATGTTGTTGCTCGAGCAACCGGTGTCCGGGAGTTAATTTGAAATTCATTCGGAAGAAAATTTAGGGAGAGTCGACGGGTAAACTTTACTTTAGAAGATCAAAAACTACTGACTTCTTTTCCTCCCGATCGTCTGGTAGTTTCAAGCTCGTTCCGAAAATACAAATTTGATAGAAATTTGATAAAAGTGGGCGTTCTCAATATACTTGTTTTCTACGCACAATTTTATTGTTCTGTAGGAAACCTTTTAAACGAAAACAAATGTTTCTTTCACTTCTGACGACTAAAAAATTGTAGCGAATATCTACGTGTCGAAAAATGTCTTCGTACTTCGAAATAATCTTTTTGTTGGAAAATTGAAAAAGAAAAATATTTCGAAGATATGGAATTTTTTTGACAGTCAAGACGAATATATCGAATTTAATAATTTAATAGATACTACGCGATTATAATACTGCACTGATTTATAACACTGAGGATGTCAACAACGATAGTGAAGGAATAGTTCCAAGAAAGAAAAGAGAATTGCGAATAAATGAGAATGAAATTCGTTTATCCTTCACAAAGAAAAATAAAATACGATCATTTGTAAATTTTTTTATTTGGTGGAATAACGTTTTTTTAATGTTCACCAAAAGCACTGAAAAATTATCTTAGAGTTGCTGCTAGATGTATATATGTACGTATAATACGTATGTATGTATGTATGTATGTATAATAAAATTAGCTGAAGTGTAAAAAGGTTAATATAATTATTACGGTAGCTGGTTTATATTAACATAATCTATACATGCTCTTTAAAATACTATATTTAAAGAGAAAGTTACATACTTGGGGATATTTTACATAGGTATATAACTTTTGAACTACCTCAACCGTACTTAAGGACCAAGCAACGTGTGTCGTAAACGCTTCAACTTTTTGAAATCTTACATAGGTAATTACATAAAATCTAGACGAAACGATGAAAAGATATTTAGCTAATGCTTAATCACTCTACACTGGAAAGTAGAATTTGACAGAAACTGACATAAATAATGATCGAAAAGAAAGTTACAAATGAAATGTTGCATCAACAACTTTGGTTTCTTACGGGTAAAAACTAACTTTTTTTTTTTCAACTCGTGGAAGATTGCCAGACGATCAAGAAAGAAAAAAACAGTCAATAACTTTTAGCAAAGTTTTAAAGTAAAATTTAGCCGAATCGAGCATTCAAAGAAAACAGAGGATAGAAAGTTGACAGAATTTTCGTTTGCAGTTGTCGAATTTAGTGCAACATCGCGTGATATTGTTGACGCGTGCGCGCATCAAGGAAAAGAGGAAAACGCTAATGCATGGAATATACAACTTAATATGTAAGAGGAATCGAAATCTAGATCCGGGGAGTTTAATTCAATTGAACTACTTACGCAAATAAAAGCAGCACCCATCCGCGAATGAGACATTTCGTTCCATTAGGAAGGAGAATTGAAAGAGAAGATAGAAAAGTCAAGTGAAGCAGTACGAGAGAAGATAGATTAAAAGAGTTGTTGTTTTTTTTCTTTTTTTTTTTTTTTTTGCTATAGTTT